TTTATTAATCATAATAAATTAGTTTTATCATATTACATCAATTACATATCATAATCAAGTTAGTTTTATCATAATTTATCAGGTCAGAACCATTATTTATTAGGTCATTATTTCGAATCTACCGAGAAAAAAACGTGTCGGATAATTATTTTGGAAGAACAGAGAAAAGCGTAACAGACAATTATTGCGAAACAATTGAGTAACGCATATCCGACAATTATTTTAGAACTAAAAAAAACATATCAGATAATTACCTAAGAATAACAGAGAATAACTAGAGAAAAATCAGACAATTATTTTAGAAACAAAGAGAAAAACGTATCACACTAGTTATTCTACAATATCAACCTATCTACAATATCAACATGTCATGAGTTATTTTAGTAAAACAGAGAAAAGCGTATCGGACAATTATTTTGAAACAACAAAGAACAAACGTATCATATGAGTTATTTTAGTAAAACAGAGAAAAGCGTATCGGATAATTATTTTGGAACAACAAAAAACAAACGTATCACATGAGTTGTTTTAGCAAACCAGAGAAAAACGTATCGAACAATTATTTTGGAACAACAGAAACAAACTCATTATATGAATTATTTTAGAATAACAGAGAAAAACGTATTGGATTTAGTAGGTGGAATGAGTATGCATTTTTTTAGAAATCACTTTATTAAAAAAACAAAAACCGAAATTGTTTTAACACAAACAAAGGAATTATGGTGGCAGAAATGTAAGAATCAATCTATTTCCTTTCCTTTTTGGCCCTAAAGGTAGTGAACCTCCTGATCTTTATTAACTACTATTTGCCGTTAGGTTATTTGTCCTGATCCCATTGGTAAGGAGTCATAGTACCCTAGGGCACCCTATCAATAAAAATCACTTTGATGCTAAGTGGTACAAGTCAAGAAAACAAGATAAAAGATTTTTTTTTTCCTAATTCGCAAAGTAAATAATTGTAGATAAGTTTTTTTTTTATGGAGGAGGTGACATCAAAACGTTTAATGTTTATTTGTATTTTCTGAAATTCTTTAAGGTGTGGAATACTTACTTTATTAAAAAATTTTTTTGAAAAGTACTTTCAGTACTCTTGGTTATAGGTTAAGTTACTGAAATTACTATTCTAATTTTTTATATTTTATTCTTACTATAAAAATATTTTTAAATATAATACCATTTAGGTACTGAACTAGCAAGTTTTTGAAACACGTACTGTTTTCTGAGAGAGAAAAATTCTTTATAAATTTGAATTCTTTATTTCTGGGATGATTTCACGTATATTTTTGTTAGAGGTACACTTAAAGTAATTTAAGATATAATACCAGTGTAGCATTAAGTTTTGTACTTTTCAGGTTTTATTAAGAATCCAATAAAATCTTATACTTATTAAAATCTTATATTTATTAATGACCTTTAACTTATGCAACCTTTATGACCTTTAACTTATCCAATAAAAAATTAAATTTATTTATTACTATTCCTATTCTCTTATGTTGTGATACAATAAATTAAGCTATATTTCACTGTCTTGGTTCGAAACAACTTTTTAACTATTTTGCTAATTAAAATAGACACACTAATTAATTAAAAACGTATACAAATAATACTTGAAAATGTTTACCTGTTACGTCGCAGCAACGCATTAACCAAAATTTAACACAATCAAATCGCCATGAACTTTAACAACAACAAAAAAAAACATTTAGTTGATAAATTAAAGAATTTGAAAAATTTGAATAACAAACAGAAATTGATTTTATATTTTTGAGGCTCGGCTAAATTTTCGTCTACTCTAGTTATTTCTTTTTTATTTCGTTATATTATTAATTTCGTTATATTATAAATTCTTTGAGTAACTAAGGAAAGAAAATTTACATTGATAATTTATCAAAAATCATTAATGTAGTAACTATCAGATATAAAAATTGTCCGCATGTATTGCTCTAGCACGTAAAATCAACGAATTGTGTCTGTCAAGCATATAAATATGGATTATATTCATCATCGGTTTAAATTCATGAACAAAACAAATGAAGAGAAGTTAAAACATTTAATTCCAATCTTAATTTTCTTTAGCTGCTAAAAAAAAAATTCTTTCTTTTCATTTTAACTCATTTTAACACTGCGCATAACTGAAGAAAAAAATATCCAAACATTTTATGTGCTTAAATTAAAGCAAATAACCAAACGGTTATTTTGATAAATTCAATAAAAACTTATCAAAGGAACAATAAACTTATCGTCCAACTAGTAGTAAAGCTTACAACCACAAAGAGGCGTTGCATACTTTTGGACAAAATGCATAACCACTTTCCTCCTCATTGAAAAAAAAAATGCATTGTTTTTTCATATGCTCTATTATTAGCAGAACATTAGATTTTAAATTAGATCTAACATTAGATTTTAAATATCATTTAGTGCATAATTGCTATTTAATTGATGAAAAACTGAAACTGCAACCGCTATATTAAAATAGATATTACTACTGTGTTGATAGCGAGTTTTTCAATTGCAATTTAAAAAGTATTCTATAAAAATTTGCAATAATCCAGCAGAAACTTGGCAATTATTTTATTAACGCAAAAAAGCGTTGCATACGTTCGAATAAGATGCATTCTCCGCGTTGAAAAAATGCGTTGTTTTTCCATATGTTCTAGTATTAGCTCTTTAATATTTCTCTACGAGTAAAATAATAGATTTGAAATATTACTCAGTGCACACTTGCTATTCAACTGATGAAAAACTAAAACTCCAACTACTTTATTAAAATGGATAATACTAATGTATGGATTTTAACTGCCAGATTGTTTCTGAATTGCAATTTAAAAAATTTTCTATAAAAATTTGCAATAATCTCTCGCTTGGTAGAGACTTGGTAATTATTTAAAAATTCAAATAAACTGTATGTTTTTAAAAATTTATCTATTTATTTCTAAATAGAACTAAATAATTTTAACACTTTAATTCCTCTTTCGATTATCTGTATACTTGAATGTATTGCTCGCCTGGGACCACTAGTTGCTATTATGATGTTCAACTATAATCTTCATTCAAAATTTAATATACCGGAAAAGATTAATTCGATGCAATGGTTAAAAAAATTATTTCAGTTCAGTTCATATTATTTAAAACATATGTTCTATATGGTAGCAATGCATTTAAAAAATAAAGAAGAAATTGGCTGATGCTGAAAGTTCCACCAAAAACATTATTTTTCGTTCACCCAATACAACCGAAGTAATAACCGGAATTTCAGCTTAAACTTTCAATATTTTTTCAGCCGAGTCGTGATGGCTCAGGGGATTGCGCACTAGCCTCCCACTGAGGTGAACCAGGTTCGAATCCCAGCAATGGCTGGTCGATACGAATTCCTCACCAGGCTAGACTCGACCACACTGATGACGTAACATATCCTCAGTGGTAGACGGATCATTGGTTGGGCTAATGATGGGTGGTTTTTGTGGTTTTTCCTTCCCATGTCACACAAATGCAGGTTAGTTCGATCAAAAAATCCTCCACGAAGGCAAATTTTTCCCAATACTTGATCCAGGAGTTTCCTTGTTTTCTGGACTGGGTTCAAAATTACGAGGCTGCGGAGATGAGCATTGGTAGCCGTAAACCCAAAATTGGGTCGGCTGCTCAAAGATGGCTATAAAATAAAATATTGCTCTACCCAGTTGAGCAGGAGAAATACTAAAGCCATTTCTAAATTTTTTTTTATTAGTAACCCAATTGATCAGAAGAAGTGACTGAAACTACCATCATTTGTTTCTTAATTACGCCTAGTCATAATGGAACAAAAGTGGTTGGAATTTAACTGAAATTTTCAAATTTGCCTTGATCTAATAGCTTGAGAGAAACGGCTGAAACTTCCATGAAAGTTCTTTAAACTGCTTGTCCCACTAGAGCATGAGGAATGACAGAAACTTCTACTGAAATTTTGTTATTCATCAAACCAATAGAGCAGGGGGGGGATGGCTTAAATTCCACTAAAATGTTTTATATTCTGACTTAGTAAAACAGAAGAAATTGCTGAAACTTCCACTGAGATTTACTATTTTTTGCTTGACCAAATGAAGCATGAGAAATTGCCGAGAAATTTTACTAAAACGTTTAATCATGCCTTGACCAAATGAAAAAAAGAAAGAAAGAAATGGCACAAACTTCCACTTAAATCATCAATTATGTGTTATCCAAACAGAGCAGAAGACATCTCTAGAACTTTCTCTAAAACTTTTTAATTTGCCTTACCTAAGGAAACCAAAAAATTGGATGAAACTGATCACTGAAATTTTCGTTTATAAATAAGTAATGGAGCAGAAGAAATGTCTAGATCTCACACTAAAATTTCCATTTAGGCATGAACTTTATGCAATTAAAATAAATAGCAGGATAGAACTATGATTTGGATCCATTTAAACAGCATGCATTTTAAGTTATGCAAACTTGTCCTATCTCAAAGATTCCGGCAGCAGCAACCATCAAAGTATCAGCTCTTTCTCCTCTAGGTGTCGCTACGATCATTCTCTCCAGACTGATGCCATTCTTCTTCCTAAAGCTTAGCCTCTCAATAATTCCATTCTCTCGGTCCCAGTGACTCTGCAAATAGCGAAGTCGTCGTCTGAGAAAATAATTGGATCATAGCGATACAGAGGAAAAGGAGAGAATGCAGTGGTCTCAATTTCCGTAATTGTGTTGAAAGCAAACGTGAAACATCGTGATGGGATAAAAGGAGGGGGAGGGGATAAAAGGGGTGAAACACTAACGATTAATGGCTCACACTGTTATGCTTCAAGAAAGTATCAATATCAAATATATATATATATAAAGATGTGTCTTATGTGGAGATGTTTACTTTAAATCTTCTCTGTGTTTAAAAAGCTTTCATTTGGAAGTTACGACCATAGAACTTTTATGGAACATTTTTGCATTCATGTTGGAATTGTGTTTTATAAAATTAAATTGTCTTTCAGTAATTTTAAAAATAAATTGTGTTGCTTTCATATAAGTTCCAGTAAAATTTCTAGAAATAAAATTTTTTTTAATAATGGCTTTTTTAAGTGTCTTTGGTTGTTATTCGTGATCAGAGGATGAGTATCTTTGTTATTTGTGACAAAGGATAAGTGTCTTTGGTTGTTATTCGTGATCAGAGGATGAGTATCTTTGTTATTTGTGACAAAGGATAAGTGTCTTTGGTTGTTATTCGTGATCAGAGGATGAGTATCTTTGTTATTTGTGACAAAGGATAAGTGTCTTTGGTTGTTATTCGTGATCAGAGGATGAGTATCTTTGTTATTTGTGACAAAGGATAAGTGTCTTTGGTTGTTATTCGTGATCAGAGGATGAGTATCTTTGTTATTTGTGACAAAGGATAAGTGTCTTTGGTTGTTATTCGTGATCAGAGGATGAGTATCTTTGTTATTTGTGACAAAGGATAAGTGTCTTTGGTTGTTATTCGTGATCAGAGGATGAGTATCTTTGTTATTTGTGACAAAGGATAAGTGTCTTTGGTTGTTATTCGTGATCAGAGGATGAGTATCTTTGTTATTTGTGACAAAGGATAAGTGTCTTTGGTTGTTATTCGTGATCAGAGGATGAGTATCTTTGTTATTTGTGACAAAGGATAAGTGTCTTTGGTTGTTATTCGTGATCAGAGGATGAGTATCTTTGTTATTTGTGACAAAGGATAAGTGTCTTTGGTTGTTATTCGTGATCAGAGGATGAGTATCTTTGTTATTTGTGACAAAGGATAAGTGTCTTTGGTTGTTATTCGTGATCAGAGGATGAGTATCTTTGTTATTTGTGACAAAGGATAAGTGTCTTTGGTTGTTATTCGTGATCAGAGGATGAGTATCTTTGTTATTTGTGACAAAGGATAAGTGTCTTTGGTTGTTATTCGTGATCAGAGGATGAGTATCTTTGTTATTTGTGACAAAGGATAAGTGTCTTTGGTTGTTATTCGTGATCAGAGGATGAGTATCTTTGTTATTTGTGACAAAGGATAAGTGTCTTTGGTTGTTATTCGTGATCAGAGGATGAGTATCTTTGTTATTTGTGACAAAGGATAAGTGTCTTTGGTTGTTATTTGTGATCAGAGGATAAGTATCTTTGCTATTCGTGATAGAGGATAAGAGTCTTTGGTTGTTATTTGTGATCAGAGGATAAAGTATCTTTGTTATTCGTGATAGAGGATATGTCCTTGGTTGTTATTCGTGATCAGAGTATAAGTATCTTTGCTATTCGTGATAGAGGATAAGTGTCTTTGGTTGTTATTCATGATCAGAAGATAAGTGATTTGTAATAATATATCTCACTAACGCTCTTATAGTAACTTAAATTAATGTATTTTGATAATATTACTACCACTGTGGAACTATTCAATGAGCATTTTTAACATTAATGATGCAAAAGTGTAAGAAAAATTGAGTTATTACTAGAGTAAAGTTCAAAATAATTATTTTACTTTTATAAACCCTTCTGTACAAATGCTTGATATAAAAACCTTTTTAAATAATTACTGTTTTTTTAAAGTGACTTTGGTCTTCATTTGTGATAAGAGGATGAATGATTCCTGATAAAATATTTTAATAATACATGTAATGTAACTTAAATTATTGCTAATATTAATCTTGATAAGATTAACACAATTATGGAACTATTTGATACATTTTAAATATTTATGAGGAAACTGTGTTGAATAAGATTAGTTACTATTATTGAGTAAAGTTTAAATAATTATGTTGCTCTTATAAGCTTTTGTATGCAAATTCTGTAAATAAAATGTTTTAAATACTAAATTACTGTGTTTCAAGTGTCTCTGGTTGTTATTAGATAAGATGATGTGTTTTTCCTGATCTGGAAAAATACTGGGTATCCTAAAATCTAACGATGATTTGAAAAATTAATTGGTAAAAACTAGAGGGTGTAGAAATAAACAGTTTGATTCATTCTGAAAAGGAGATCCGATTTAAAATCAGTAGCAATTTTTTTTTCAGAAGCCGGCTCTGCTAACTGAAAACTATATAACAATGTTGTCGATTTCTTTTTAAATCTTTCCAACTGAAATATATGCAAGGGAATCAGATATTATTTTACTCTGACAACATCACGTCGTTATTTCAAAGGTTGACTTAAAAACTTTTATTTCTAGCTTAGAGTTTGCAGTGCCATCTGGTGACGAGTTTTGTGATTAATTTTAAAACTTTACATCCAAACAAAATTTGGTTACTTGAACAGAACGCAGCGAACCATTTCTATCGCGTACTTATTGATCTTGAAATTTTTTTTCTTCATATTTTTCGGGATACTTCATGCTTTAAAAATATTGTTAATGTAACTTAAATCTTAATCGTATTAAAAATTATAATGTGGGACACTATTAGACAAATTTACAAAGTTAAGAGTCAACTTTGCTGGAACGTTGAGAAAAAATCAGGAAAATATATTGCACAACATTACAAATAAAAATAACTAGAATAAGTAATTGTTTCCTTTATTATGCATAAAATGACGCCATGAAATACTGTTATTGTAATAAATTGGTGTGTATGCATGTAACACAAATTAAAACTATAGATTAAAACATTTTAATGCATTAATTAATGATAAACAAAATAACAGAAATAACTATAAAATGTTTGCCAATTTTAAAACTTTCATCTTTATAAACTACACATACGACTAATCTAAAAAAAATCTAAAACTATTCTAAATAATCTAAAACTATTATATAATTATTGGAATTATTTCATGCCAGATAAGATTGGCTTTTATTCATAATTACTTCTAGATAAGTTTTCAATCATAATAGCTATCTATATAAGATTTTATTCATAACAAATATGTAGAGTGGTAAAAATAACTATTTAGAGGTATATTTAGAGGAAATAACTATTCCAATGTATTGAAATGGGTGATCAGTAATTCAAAGACATTTCTTTGCTTTATTCCATTATTGTTCTCAAATGAAGGAGCAGTATGATTATTATAAATGAGAGCTGCTGATCTGAAGATTCTCAAAGAAAATTTCGCATCAAATCCATTATCATTTTCAAATCAAATTCATATGATCAATATCATATATCATTGGAAAAATGAGTTAGTCCTCGTATGTTCAGTTTCATTTCATCAAAAGGGTAGTAATCTGATTTCTCTTTTTGTATAATAACCTACAACTCACTCTTTTTTTTAAATATTTACTTTAGAAACGTCTTGGAAATAAGTCACAAGAACAATTTCATAAGGAAAATTCTGTTTCGTTTACATCTGGAAAGCTCTTGGGGCAAAGAGCTTATTAAAGAAAATATTGAAAACAGTAAATTAGCTTGTAACTTAACTTGCTTAAAGGGCAAATATACCCATATATATATATATATATATATGGGTCATTCTCACGAAAACTGTCATTTTTCAATTCATAAAATCCCAAAAAAGTAAAGTGAATAAAAAGCTCTGAAACTTTTTATATTAATAGAAATATGTAATGGCATTATAAAGAAAGTATATATCCTATAAATTATACTTAATATTTTAGTTAATTAATTTTTTAAATAATTAATTTATAATAATTAATAATTATTAATTAACTTAATAAATAAATGAATTAATTTAATAAATTAATTTATTAATTATTCTTTTAAAATTAATTAATAAATAAATTAATTAATTTCACTATTTAAAAAGTGAGGGAATGACACTAATAGAGAGGAAATGATATTTTATATTAATACATTTTTTTATCTAAGTTACATCTACATTGAGTTTGAAAATGATAACATACTAAGTATATCTAATATTTATTATAATTTAGTTTTATATATTTAATAGTTTTTACAGGTTTGGGAAATAAAATTGGCTGGCACGATTGAACAAAAAAAAATTTAATTAATAATATTATATATATAATTAATAATTAATAAAATTAATAATATACTCATCTTGAATCATTCCCACACTTCAGCATCATTCCCTCACTTTATACACTAGTGAGGGAAAGAGAAAATTTAATAAAATTTAAAAATAACTGTTAGGCTTAATTAATTTCTGAAGTCAATCACATACAATTATATTCATACAAGAAAGCGACATATAATTATCCACTTTCTCGATGAAGTTGTATTTTATTTTACTCTAAAAAATGACATGAGGGAATGATAAATGTAAAAAAATTTTCCTAGTTTGATTCATTCAAATTTATTCCACAACAAAGCTTCTTTAAGTTGAAGATGCATACTGCAATTTTGTTCTATGATGCCAGTTGTTAACTGCTAAAGGTTTTATTAAAATATTTTTATTCTGAGAAGATTGCAGGTGATAAAAACATTGTTGTGAGGAAATGACGCGAAACACTTGGGACAAAGTTTAAAATAGTGCTGTGTTAATATTTTTATCAGAAATTAAATTTAAAATTGATTTCCTGAATTCTATATTTCAGTATTCTGAAATAAAAAATACGAATTTGTAAAAAAAAAATTTT